TCCCATTCTTCGCTAGACATGTAGCTTGTTGGTGAATTTACCACCGGTATGGTTTCCTCTTCACATTGCGTTGGCCTCGGGGCCACTTTAGGCAGTGTTGACAAATTATGCTTACTTTTACTTTGAAATTCGGGCATGTATAGGTTATGTTCATTTGTCGGGGTTAGTCTGTGTTTTGATGTGGTCGGTTTGTTCTGTTGATAATAGTCCTTGTTTTTTATTATAATAGGTGGATCATTTTTAATTTTCTGTGGTTTACGGTGTCGTTCGTCATTGTAGGTTAGGGGGTTCTTCTCTATTTCCCTTTCCTGTTGTAGAAAGTTTTTTTCTTTGTGGTAATTTTTTAAGAAGTATCTTTGTCTCTCTTCGTATATTTCACTGAGTTCACTCTCTGTTGTTTCTCCCTGACGTTCCTGATCATACTTCTTTTTCCATAAGTGGGTTGGTGATGGGTCGTTTAATTTGCTCCTTATAACATTAACTAGCTTCTGTTCCTTAATCCAGTTTATAAGGTCTTCTATATCTTTGTCATTATTAATGTCATAGTTTACCTTATTTGATTTTTGGTTTTTTATCTTTGGTGTACGGTTTCCAATCTCTTCTTCCAGGTCAAATTTATTATAACTATTTGGATTCTTCGTTGCATGGTAAGATGGAGTAAGAATTTGTGTGTCTTCTTCCTCTAATGGTTGGAAACTATTTTTAGTAACGGTACTGACCTTTGCTGCGTTGACTGGTGGTCGTCCATACCCTTCGTTGCCTCTTGTTTGCCTTCTGTTTGGTGTAAACCAGACATTTTCCCTTATTGGGCAGGGTTGATCCTCCCATTTGGTAATTTCCATGCTAAATCTTCCTTTATTTTTCTTCTGACCTAGAGCCAGGAATTCTTCTTCTTTGTATCTGAAGTTATTGGGTCCTCTAAACTTCAATTCGGTCATGGCCACGCTTTTTGCCTCGTGGAAAGACATGTTCTTATAGGCAATCAGTTTATTTATTGCTTTCTCTAATAATGCATACGGGCATTGCCTGTTGAGTGCTGAATGATCTTCTTCGCAGTTGGCACACTTAGGGGAATTTGTACATTCACCGTGAGATCCCTTTCCACAATTGAAACATTTGCTTTCCGTCTCTCGACAGAATCTTTTCGTATGTCCGAATCGTAAACACTGGTAACACTGTCTTATGTTTCTTACAAATGGGGTAACGTTAAGGCACACGTGTCCTTCCATAATAACTATTTTAGTCGGTAGGCTGGTACCTCTAAATTTAACAAGAACCATTTGGGTTTCCACCCATTCATATCCGTGTTCCACTTTTTTCCTTTTCCTCAGTCTTTCCAAGGATTCGATGTTTTGTCCAGGGAGAATCTCTTCTTTCAATTCCTCTAGGAAGTACTCCCATTCTTTGATATTGCCGGTTCTAAATTCAGACCTTCTTGGAATGCGTATTTTAAAATCACCGTTGTTTCTTCCTCTGGTCGTTTAATTTTAGTTTCTGCTATATGTTTATTCAACATTTTGATTGCTTCAAATTTGTTGACGTCTTCTCTTAGGAATCTGAAAATTTTTAGGTAATTTATTTTTTTGTTCGATTTAAAATATACATTACCTCCTTTGTTCAGGTTTTTTTAATCACTTCTATTACGAATAGATTGATATTAGCTGGTTCAGTATTAATTGGAATTTTCTCTTTATTTTTAGGTTTATGTCTTTTGTCCGACGACGAATCCGAATCTGATTCTATCTCCGCACGTGGCGAACCACGTGTTGCATTGCGGCCGTTTATGTTTCTCACCTTTGTATTATCACCCCTTGAATCTATCGATTCTACGATCGACCGAACGTTAGTATTTTTAATTTCAATATTTTCCACTTTACTTTTATATGGATTTACCACTATGTTTGTCTTTTCACTGCCTATAATCTTTAACTTTTTCCTTGCATTTCTATTCTCGTCGCTGTATTCGTTCTCAACTGCTTGTTCTACACTCTTCCTTCTCAACCTTAGTCTTCCGCTCGCTAGGGGCGCTGACGGTCTTTCTTCTGGGCCGCTGATTGGCTCCTTTTCCTTTCCGTTCTTCTTCTTCATTGGCTCGTTTGTTCCTTCTTCCTTCCTATTGGTGCGCGCTCTATAGATCTCCTCTACCGATCGCTGGATCAGTCTTACTCTTGACTCCTGTTGTTGCAACGTATTTCCGGCTTTTGGGAGGAAGAGCCCGCTACCCCCCCCCCCTCCCCACCGCTGTCTCCACCATCCTCTTCTCTTCTATCTCCCATAGAGATAGGATACATATTTCGAACTTTTCACATTTCGCTATATTTAATTCCCCCCTTAAAATTTATATCTAGGTTTTTATCTCGCACTTCACTCCATCGATTAAACGCACTCAGATATTATTTAACTGTATATTTCCACCGTATTGATTAAATCTAATTCTCTTTATTTCTCTTCCGTTGTGTCCCAACCAATGGCCGACCGGAAGTCCCGCGATAAAGCAACCGAATCGTATCAGGGGCACATAATGTAGCAAGAAGTAGATCGCTCGCTCCGCACTCGTAGCTGTTATCGCTTAGGTTCTCTCTTACTTGCTAAACGCTTCTCAGTCTAAGATATAGGGTGACGTTCGAATATACAAATACTACATCTGTCTTCAACTCATTACAAGGAAAAAATATGTCCGTGGTTTGGACGGTCGATATGCGAACGTCACAGTATCATAAAAAGGACGTAGCAAACTAGACTCAAAGAAGGTCGACCATCATTTTCCGTATTTCTTATCGGATTTTAACGGATGTATTACCAATCGATTCCTTATGTTATCCCGATGAAAATGGTACCAGACACGATACAATTCGGATTATTTAGAAGGAAATTATACGGAAAAAATGATTTGCACGCTTTTTGTCTATCTTTGTTAAAAATAGTCCGATTTACATAGTGTTTAGTAGCGTTTTCATCAGGAAAACGTAAGGAATCCATCGGCGTTACTCCCGTAATAATACGATGCATATGAAGTGAAAGCGGGTGATTACTGAAAGCCATAAACCAAGGGTTGAACCATCCACAACGGACGTGTGCCGACTTTAACCCACGACGGACCTCAAAGGGTCCGAGCATTAAAGTGTAAAATTGGTGTCATGATATGTTCACTTTTTGATGTGTTTTATAAAAGTTAAAGAAATAAATTGCACTACTGAATTCCTGATGTTATACTGATCAAAATGGTACCAAACACGATATAATATCGATTAATTTTAATTATTCGTGTAATGTAAACCTATAAAAAACTTCAAAAAAGTAAAAAAATTACGCCAAGTACATGAAAAAGTGGAGAACTTAAAGAATAAACATAGAAAAATAGAAGATCCCCTTAAAAAAATGCAAGAAAGTAGAAAAAGATGTGAAATCGAAATGAACAGCCAGTACATGAAGGTGCTTTCCAGCAAAGTGCAAAGGCGACACTGTATAACACAATGAAAAATTCGGTGCTTTCTAACTATGCGCAGCTAAAATGCTGTGTTCAACAGTGCAGGCACTCAGACTCTAATGGCAACTCATGTAAACTGACTGCTCCGCACTGTGGCGGTGAAATGAAGAAGCTAAATAGTGTATCAACCACAAACTAAGACTGTTTAGACATTTGCCTAGATATCCGTGGCCTGGAAATCAAATGCTTGGCGTGGATAGGCAAGGTCAAGCTTTTGATGAATAAGAATTATTTTAAAATGTAAAATAATGAAAATGTACTCGTATTGTCAGCGAGTATGAAATATTTTAAAACGCAATACAATGAAAGGGTACTTATATTGTCAAAATTTTAAATTGACAAATTATATGAAAGTCTGCGAGAGAGAAAATATGGGTATTGATAATTTGAGAATGCTTTGCCTGGCCACGCCAAGCATTTGACTTCCAGGCCACGGACATCTAGGCAAATGTTTAAACAGTTTATATGAGTTGCCATTAGAGTCTGAACGTCTGCACTGTTGAACACAGCATTTTAGCTGCGCATAGTTGGAAAGCACCGAATTTGATATCATGTTCTTACATTTTTTTACATTTCTTACATTTTTTTTGGGGGGGGGGGGGGGGGATCTTCTATTTTTCTATGATTACTCTTTAAGTCCTCCACTTTTCATGAACTCGGCGTAATTTTTTTACTTTTTTGAAGTTTTTTTATGGGGATCTCACTTCTTTTTACAAAGACAATTTGTATAGTGAATGACTTCAAATAATAGAAAATGGGAGATCAGTTTGAATCTTTTAAGGTTTCAAAAGTACGCGGAAAGCATTACAGGAAGTCTCATTGCAAGAAATTTATTAAAGAAAAAATGTAATCACTTTATCAGTAACATTTAAATGCAACAAGACTGTCTGTCATGTGTCGTGGGTACTTTTGCGAAATTAAAGGACTAAGTCTGACCTCTCTTTTTCTATATTATTGTAATACAATAAATTATGCGTTACATATAATTGTTTTCTTTTTTTCATTTCTCGCTTCATCTTTAACATTTAAATTTCTTGCAGTGAGACATCCTCCCATGCGTTCTGTATACTTTTGAAAACTTAATGGACTGAAGCTGGTCTCTTTCCTATATCTGGCTTCAGACACATGTATATTGTAGACTCTACGCTTAATATAATAAAAGACAAATGTATTTTTAACCGACTCAAAAAGGAGGAGGTTAGTCAATTCGACATGTATATATTTTTTTGTTTTTTTTTTTTTTTTTATTAATGTCTGTTCACCGATTACGCCGAGATGGTTTGAACAATCTAAATGAATCCTTTTGCGTCTTGTAAAACATGTCCTTCCGGTGATCCTGCTATGAAGACTTTTTTGCGATTTGTCATTTTTTACCCGTCTCTTTAACAAAAACCCGTGATTTTTAGGTATGCTTGCTGATTACGTCGAGATGGCTTGATGAATCGGAGTGAAACCTCTTGCATCTTGTCGAATATTTCTTCCAGTTGGTCGCGTAAAAGAAACACTTTGTGATTTGTTATTTTTTACCCGTTTTTTTTTAAACAGAAAAATTTTGTCTTGCTTCTTACTCCGAGACGGATGGACCAATCAGATTGAAACTTCTTGCATCTGGAAGAGCATTTGCCATTTGGTCCCATAACAAAACATTTGTCCTTAGTTTGTTTTTTACTACTTTATATCACTTTTTATCGCAAAGAGCGTACTATTTAACGTATGTTTGGCTTGAAATCGATAAAATCCCTGTTACGTATACAGAAACGCTCCGTTTTTAGAAGCTCGCGTTCATTAATCTTATTTTATCTACCCTTCTGGAATTTGGAGCTCGGTCTCACGGGAGTGCATCCTGCAGCGCATCCTCTTAATATCATCTTTGACTCGCGTTGCGTGGGATAGTTTCTAATCTACCCTTTTCCCAGGGAACGCAGCTGCCGACCTCAAAGCAACGAAAATTCTAACCGTCAGATTTCCTAATATGGAAATCATTGACGGTTCCCCACCAACATTTAGGGGTATATAAACCCATGATTTTCGTTGCTCGGGGGCTAGTACAAAAGAGTTACTCGTTAGAGACACGTTGATCGTCTGCAGAGTAGTACTCTAGTGAGATCGGGCTTCAGTTCCTTTCGATCATCGTTACCATATAGATCCGCGAAGACGGTTTTAAAATCTATTACGGCCATAAAAGTACTCTCGACCCCCGCATCACCAGTGCGTCAACACCGCGCAACACTTAGGTAAATTTAACTTCATACACTAACCGCGACAACACGACACTGCACACTTGTAATTACTATAATTATTTTTGAATATATACTCTTTGTGTAAACTTAAAAGTCTGTAAGGTCAATCATCAAACCTTTACTTTGAAATCACCAATCCTAGCCAGTGTAACAATCCCACAACATAATAACTTTGCCGCTCGAGTTATTATTCTATTAAATTAACAAGTTGCGAGGCTTTATTAACGACGCGTATTATTCATACGATTCAGTCCTTGTGTACTCAAACCGAACTCCTAAACTTAACCTATCCTACGGTTACCCTTTACTGGGAGATACCAATTCCCAGCAGCTACCTGACTTCGCGTCAGAGTCGTCTGCGTTTGTCTCCAATAACCAAGACAACCAAACACCTTAACCTACGGTTACCCTTCACTGGGAGATACCGATTCCTGCAACTATCTGACTTCGCGTCAGAGTCGTCTGCATTATCCACTCTATCCTCAAATCTTCGGCTCCATTGATACATACTAATTAATCGTATCGGTCCAATTCTCGAATCCACCCCACTCGCAGGGCTCACACGCTCGTCGCTATCGCCTTAGCTCGTAACATCTCTTACATTTTGCTGCCGTACAGGTTTTTGCGATGATCACATGTCCAAAAAATTATGAGTTTTTTAATTATTTATAACTATTGCTATTGCAAAATTCCTTTTCTTTGCTGAAACTTGGCACAGAATTAACCGATCGAGATGGAATTTTCCGCATTTCATGATAGATGAATTCGTGATGTTCCTATTTGCAAAAATGTATGGACACTTCCATTGTTTCAAACCATTGTTGGTGCAAAATTGCTACGCTCTGTTGTAGCTCAATAAGGAATTTACCAAACGCAATCAATCCTTTCACGTGTATTCCTGATAATCCCTTTTGCAACAATACAAGGTGTTCCAAAAATGTTGGACGTTCTTGAAGGGGGTGTTTTGGGGGGGGGGTGATTTGAAACAATGTTTTCTTAGGGAAAATGTTGTTCGAGGCTTCGTTAAGGAGATATTGACAGAAACCTCCGACCAATCACAGCGTGAGTATGCCGGTAGAGCGTCTGCGGTAGCGTAGGCTTCGCAGACACTGCACTGGCATACTCGCGCTCTGATTGGTCGGTGGTTTTTGTTTCTGGAATATCTCATTACGAAGCCTCGAACACCATTCTCGCTAAGGAAAAATTGTTTCATATCGCCACCCCCCCCCCCCCACCCTTTCCAAGGACCTCCAACGTTTTTGGGTCATCCTGTATATTGCTCATAACTGTTGGTATTGCATGAAATCTATTGGTTATAAATTGCCACTAAAAAGAGTGAAATAAAATAATTTTTAGGGGAAAAAATGTAACCGACTTCAAAAAAGGTATAGTGAAAAGTATGAAATAATTTCTAGTTAACTTATATGAATACGCACTAGCTCTAGATATAATTGCTTAAAAGTATGGAAAAATGCAGTGAAAAGTGTGAAATAATTTCTATTTAAACTTCACCGTCGTTTGATGAATTTGGTTAAATTATTCAATACATTGTATTAAATGCAATGCACATTTTTTTCGGAGGCGGCGCATAATGTAAAATTACTGCCCTAGCAAATTATCGAGAACTGTCTGGATTCCAAAAAGATCGGTATACGTCAACACGCTCTCTCTCTCTCTCTCTCTCTCTCTCTCTCTCTCTCTCTCTCTCTCACTCTCACTCTTTTGTCTCTCTGACAATGTTGGGCACCACGGA